GCAAATCACTGTCCTTTCATGTTCTTCTTCGTTCACAGAACCAAAAAAAAAGAGTAGCAGAGTGAGGTCCAGTGAGTAAGGTGCATGGGGCAAAAGAGAAATGCTGGTTTTTTTTGCCAAAAACTGTCACACTGAGATGGCTGTGTGAGCAGGTGCATTGTTGTGGTGGCAAAACCAGTTTACCACAAATCAGGACTTTTTTGTCACACATTATTATGCAATCTTTTCAGAACCTTGAAATAGAAAGCTTGATTAACAGTCTGATCTGGTGGAATGAACTCCAAATGCACTATCCCCCTCACATAAAAAAACAAATGAGCATCATCTTGATCTTTGATTTCACTTGACAAGATTTTCTTGGGTGAGGTGACAATGGCATCTTCTACTGGCTTGATTGATGTTTGGTTTCAAGGTCATAAGAATAGCACCAGTAATGACCTTGGGGAAAAGTCTGGGTTCTTTCAAAGCATCATATGTTTCCACTGGACATTCTTTTTCCTGGTCAGTCCGAACCTGAGGCACAAATTTTGCAGTGACCCTTCTCATTCCCAAATCTGCTGTTACTGAGCTCCAAGATAGTCCAGAGAACTTCCCCATTTCTTGAATGGATTGTCGTAGGTCTTTGAGCAAAAGTGCATGCACTTTGTTGATATTTTCATCCTTTTGGGAAGTAGACAGACATCCAGAATGAGGTTTGTCATAATTTGACATTTCTCCTTTTTTGCAACGATAAAACCACTCCGACATTTCACCTTTTTTGGAAAGAACAAACTACTCATACACTTGAGTTTTTCCTACAGCACTGCTCTTGTAAGCTGTGTTCAACATCATAACAGTTCCTGTGGCATTTTTCCTGATCAGGAAATATAATTTAACAGCTGCACACCATTCTCTTAAATCATCCATGACAAAAAACAAAGTTCAAGTGAAACTGATTTTATGAAAAAATTCACTGTGACCACAGAGAACATTCCCAGGTGATGCCACCAGGTGCGTTAACTCAGAGTGAGTTGCTGGATGCTCACCTAGCAGAAAAAATATGTACTATAAAGGTTCGCCCAGCAGAGTTTTCTGTGGTTTTTTTTGGGGGGGATACCCCCTCATATATATTCTTTAGTACAACATGCCTGGCCTTTCCTCACAAGGGAAGTTTTCAATTATCTTAAAACTTAAAACGAAAATCTCCCATATAATCTTGTGTCTATTGGGAAAATATTAAGATTTCCCATTTGGAATTTTAACACTACCCCCTCCCCACTCAAAAACAAACAAACAAACAAATCAATAAAATGGTCACTATAACATTCTAAGCTGACTTTCTGTCTTGAATTTAACTGGTCCATCAGATGCCTCAGAAGCTACTTACTGGGCCTTTTATGAAAGCACCTTGCCTACAACCATCCTCTGAAAACAGATAGTTAACATACATCTTGTTTAGAAGAAACCTCCCATGTATGAATGAAATGGAATCTTAGTAACAATACTTTTTTACTTACACACACACACACACACACACACACAATTTTGACATCGATACACACATATGTATATGTATATATATTGCATTCCATATATATGTGTGTGTGTATATAGGCCTAAACATATTTATAGAAAAAGTCCATTATCTTTTCATTCTATTTTCTGATGATGTGTTAGGTTGGGTTCTCTAGAGAAACAAAACCAGTGACACTTGAAAAGTTGTATATAGAAATATTTATATCAATCAGTTGCGTACACAGTTGTAGAAATAAGCAAGTTCAGTCTGGTTCAAGTCATGCTTTTCCTGTTTTATGGAAGCAGATGAACAGGAAGCAGCAGGAGATCAATGAGGCAGATCACGATGGCACAGCAGAGATTGCAGGGGGCGCAGTTTGGTGGTTGCACCTCAGTCTACCTTGGTAGTCTGCTGATGGCTCCTCCGTCAGCAGGTGATGAGACAGATGAAGGAGCCAGCAGTACGCCCAGCTCTGGCAGAAGGCAAAGGGCCAACGAGGATTTGATTCTCCTTGTTTTCTCTCTCTTAAACAAAAGGATTTTGACATTAAGGAGGTGTCATCAGGCTGTGACTTGATGGACAGGTTTCTCACACACACACACACACACACACACACACACACACACACACACACCCCGCCCTGCCAGCCAGGAGTGTCTATCAGGCTGTAACTTGATGGACAGGTTATACACACACACACACACACACACACACACACACACACACACACACACACCGCCCTGCCGGCCAGGAGTGTCTAGTTGAAATAATCCTAACCATCACAATGAATTGTTGAAGCCCTGTCTCATATGTATAAATCTTAATACACACAATGTACAGTGCCTCCGTTTAAAAGGAAACATTTAGATATGTCTCCAAGTGGAAGAAAAGTAGCCCGAGTGGCACAGAGAGTTAAGCATTGAACTACTAATCCCAAGGGTCTACAGTTTGAACCCATGAGTTACTTCATGGGTGAAAGATGAGATTGTGTGCTGCTATAAAGGTTTACTGCCTTGGTAGTCCTAAAATGTAGTCTTATTTTTCACTATAGGATCATGGTGAATAGGAATCAACTCCATCGCAATGCGTTGGTTGGGTACCACGAGGAACATCAATCAATAGAAACAGACCCAGAATTACATGAATGCTAGAGTCAGCGATAAAGGAAATTAAAATCCATATTCTTCACACTTTGAAATATTTTTTAAAAACACATAGATATCATGAGAAGACAAAAGGAAAAGTAGAGGACAGCACAATGGAACTTCTAGAGATGAAAGGTAGAACACATAAAGAGAGTCTTTTAATGAATGGAATCGACATCATAGGTGTTGGGAACAGTCCAATGAGGAGGGAGGGAGGAAGGGACAGGACAAGAGAGAAATGGACAGAATGATAAGAACCAGGAGAGTAACATTGTAATGAGTTTCACGGGGGTAATTGAAGCCTCCGAAGGTCAGGGCGAGAGGTAGGTGAGAAGCATAACTTGAAGAGGTAATGGCAGAACTGTTTCAATTGCAATTGTGAGAAGCATAACTTGAAGAGGTAATGGCAGAACTGTTTCAATTGCAATGAAAAATATTAACTCCAGACCACAGAGCTCAAAAACATCTAAAGAAACAAAAACACACACACAATTATTAAATTCAAATAAAATAAACAATACTAAAGAGAAACTTTTATATCAGATTATAAAATACATGTTATAGAGGGACAAAATAGGAATTATAGCAGACCTCTTCTTTTCACACATGATGCATACAATTAATGTCTATAAATTGCACATTGAAGAATGTTGGAATTATAAATAGTTTGTTACAAACACATTTACCACATAAGAAAGATTTAAAATGTTTTCCTTTGTGAAAATTTATGTAAAAGAAGTGACATTTTAAAAGTATTACAAAGAAGGAGAGAGAAAAAACACATCAAACAAAAACTTTCCGGCTGGAAATGGAATGACATCTTTAAAGTACTGAAAGGGAAAAGAAACACAATACAAACCAGTCCACCTACCTTCAAGACCAAATGAAAACAGCGTGCATAATTGAGGGCAAGTAAAAGGGTTTCGCAAATAAATAAACGATAAAGGAAGTTATTGTCTGGCAGAATTAAAATAAATGGGGAAGAAAGTTCTTTAGACAGAGGTACATTTATCAGATAAAAAATCCAGCTTATACAAAAGACTGAAGAAGGGCAGAAATCAACAATGTGTTGTGGACATGAGTTTAGTGTATATAAATACAATAATTTTTTATTTTAAATTTTTCCAAAGATAATTGGCTGTTTAAAGTATTGTGGGAGTTGTAAAGTATATATAATAAAATACACTAAAGCAGTGACATAATGGATGGGGTAAATGGGAGAACATTGCTGATAGGTTCTCATAATAGATTTAAAAGACTTTCAATACTATTTAAATGCAGACTTTTATAAGTTAATGGTGACTTTTAATGTAGACGGTTATAAATTGATGGTTTATATAGCCCCAGAGCAGCCACTAAAACAATACATCAAAGATCTTCAACTTGTGACCCACTCTGGCAATAACAGAAAACCCCAAAGAAACAGAATCAGGGAAACGAGGAGAAGGAACAAATGGATAGACTTTTTAAAAACAAAACAAGAAGACTAACAGGATGATAGATTTTAAAATCCAACCACACTTATACTTACATTAAATGTAAGTGTATTAATACTTCAATTATGGATAGAAATTGTTAAACTGGAGATAAAAGCACGAATGAATTAGGGGCTGACAAAAAACTCACTTTCAATACAATGTGTCCTGATGTTTGTTTTTGTGTGTGACAATCTGAAAGTGCTTACTACACAGATTGAAAATGGGGATTGTTTTAAACTACTCAAAGGATGAGCAAGCCCTCAGTCACGTTAGACCAATTGTTTTCTTCCCACCGTTGACATGATCTTCTGAATTCACTAAAGCAACTCAGACAGGGTCAATAATTGTTTATACTCCAAGCCATCCATCGGTTTTTATGTGCATAAGTTGCTCTTGAATGAAACTGTTCATAATTTATACTCTCATAATTGCAACGAACTGTCTTAATTCCTCAAGTTTTATGAATTAACGTGGTTTTATTACCTAGAAACTTTTGAGGCCAACAAGAATTGGTTTTACAGAGAAGAAAAAATTCATAAATCTTGCTGTCCTGAGAGTAATGAATAAATATTCATAGAAGAAGGAAAAATTGAACTGTTTCCTTTTTATCACTGCTGGAATATGTAATTATTTCATTTCATAAATAAGTGGGTATGGAAAACCCTGCAAACGCAGAATGAAATGAATTGATGTGCACATCTAAACGCTGGAGGAACCAGGCTTTTTTACCAAGCAATCTTATGAATGGTTCTCAGCAGATCGAATCTTTTTCAAAAGGAAAATGTTTTGGTCATTGTTTGAAAACCAATCCTCATCTGAAATGATGAGAAAACCTTTCTGGGGAAAGCCTGTTTAAGCCCTAAAACTGTGCTTCCTTCGCAGGTCATCCGGAAAGGGGAAGTGAGCTGCTGTTGGATCTGCACGACCTGCAAGGAGAACGAATATGTGCAGGATGAGTTCACCTGCAAAGCTTGTGACCTGGGCTGGTGGCCCAATGCAGACTTAACAGGTAAGGGCTGCCTCACTTGCACCTCTTTCCCTGGTTACTAGTGCGGCCATCCCTACAGTTCGAGCATGCGATTGCTCATGTCTTCCTGATGTTCATTTATAGAATGCTTTTGAATTTTCCACGTGTTAAAGAGTAAGCACTCCTGTCTTTTAGGTTGAGCCGAGTTAATGGACTCCTGATCCCATCCTTCTCTGCGTCGTGCAGGGCATGGTGCTGGTGGGTGTTGCTGTTGTTAGGTGCCGTGTGGTTGCCATTCACAGCAATCCTGTATACACAGAATGTAACACTGCCTGTTCCCGCACCATCTTCACAATTGTTCTGTGTGAGCCCATTGTTGCAGCCACTGCATCAGCCCACCTTATCTAGGGCCTTTGTATTAGTCTGGGTACTTTGGAGAAACAAATCCACAGCAACTCATATATAAGAGAGAGTTTTATGTAAAGAAAATGTGCATCACGAAATCATCCCAACCCAATGCTGCCCAAGCCCACAAGTCCAACATTAACCCATTAGCCCAACACCAGTCCACAAAGTCCTCCACCTCACAAAACAGAGGCAATGATGCCGACTGCAGGAGGAAAGCTGAGTCAGTGAACGAACAAGCATCTCAGCACTAGCAGGGGTCTCCACACGGCTGCTCCAGCACCCAGGGCTGCATCGGGATAGGTCCATGTAGCTTCTCCTTGGGGATGTCTTGTAGGAAGTCAATCTTGCAAGCTGAAGCAGGGAACTGCTAAGGCAGCAGCACCCGGTGCAACCATCACAAAACAAGAGACCCGAGAACTAGAAAGGTGAGGGTCACCACCCATTTATCCCTCCGCCTTTCAATTAGCCCCACATGTGATTATCGGCCAGGTTGGCACAATTAACTAACTCAGCCTTCCTCATCTTCGTTGCCCTCTAACGAGCATGATGTCTTTCTCCCGGCGCTGCTCTCTCCTGGTAACATGTCCAAAGTATGTGAGAAGGACCCTCGCCATCTTTGCCTCTATGGATCATTCTGGTTGTACTTCTCCCAAGACAGATTTGTTTGTTCTTTTGGCAGTTTATGGTACATTCATTATTCTTCACCAGCACCTTAATACATCAATTCTGCTTTGGTCTTCCTTTAGAGAGTGTAGCATTCTTGATTATTAGGATCTCTTTATTAAACAACTTATTTCCAAATAAGTATTTACAAAGAAATTACATGGCTTATGCAAACATATTAAAAATGATTGGGTAAATAAATCTCTGTTCACATGCTTAGCATCATACTTAGTAATTAAGAGTACCTTGACATACATTCATCTTATTAGAAAAAAAGAGCTAAAATGAGTGTCAGAATGTTTTCACAAATCATCTAGAACAAAAGCCTTTTAATGAAAAGGAAATTAGATCAGAATATTTTTGAAAGTACAAACTGTAACTCATTCATTTTTTATGCTCTAGCTGGGTTGGTATTCAAATTTTAGTATGTCTAAAAATTACCTAAGAATTACCCACCTCCAGAGACTCCTTGTTGGTATCTCTAGAGTGGGACCCAGCAGATGCTGGCTAGTCCTGGTGTCCACATTGAGAAACAACCCTGGATCTCATTCTGGTGCCTTAAATATAATATTTGCTTAATGTTAGTTAAAATGAGACACTAGCTCAACCTGATTACTGAATACAGAAACTACAATGATAATCAAAGGTCTTTTGCCATAGTCTTATGATTGAAGTAAAGCCTTTCCAACCTCCTTGAGTCTCAAACCTGCCCTTCTACACATACTTTGTCTCATTGACTCTTATCCTCCGATTCGGTGTGTTCTCTGCTGACCTTATTTTCCCCATCCTTGAGTAAGCTGGTCTCCTCTGGTGTTTCAGAACTGGGGCCAACTTAATAGTCATTCCTCTCTGCAAATAGATGGAGACCCAAGCTGACCTAAGAAAAGGCTCAGGCATAAAACCAAACTCTTTCTCAAATTGATCTTAGAAGTCTGAAGTCCTAGCATTGACACATAAAGTATTTCACCTATCTACCTTCTTCACATTTTCTCAAATGCCTTGTTCTTACTGCTTTGTTATTCCTTATAATCAAAGTTTGTCTCATATATGGAAGAGATCATCTATCCCATTGAAAAATATTATAAAACAATAAAACATTTTAATATAATATTATGCAATAAGGATGTCCGGCAGTTGAGCTGAGCTGAGAGACCTAAGCTACCAGGTGTCTGAAAGAGCTGCTTAAGACAAATCAAAACAAAAGTAAGAGTCAAGTCTTTCATAAATAATAATCAACCAGTAATCAATACAAGTACAAGCAAGAAATCAAACCCTGAAAAGCGTAGGCTCCCTCTTGGGCTCTGTTTCTCCAGTGGCAGGGCCAGGTGAGGGGTAGGTGGACCGGCACAGAGGTAGAAACACTCTCACTACTGAGGAAGCCAAACAAAAGGCATCTGCAGTTTTATGGACCTCAGGCCAGGCCAGAGGTGAACTGGTGTGAAAGAACTGAGGACTGTGTCAAAGTGGGGAAAAGGTCTCTTCAAAGCTCCCTGACCTATTCCTGTTTGGTCCTGGGAAGGAGGATTCAGCAGAGGCAGTTGGGGAAGTCCTTTGCTAGAAGGTCTTTTATAAAGATGCCTCCATATTGAGGTTTTATTGTAGTAATTCCTCGATAGTGTAGAATGCAGCTATCTCAGGCCGGTTAAGGGGGCCTGAGTCCTTGACTGATTCCTCTCAGATTTTTCAATGACTGCATTAAATTTGCTTAGGAATAGCTTTCGACATGTTGCTTGTTTGGTAAAGCCTTTGGAATTGCCCATGATTAGGCCTGAGATATCACAAATGGGGCTTTTGTTTATGCTTTACCAGGAGCTGGACTCCTTAGAAGAACACCAACTCATATATTTTGTTTCCTGGAGGTCTTTTATTGTGGGTACATTTACTGTCCACTATCAAGTAATCATCACCAATAATTATGACTCTTCATCTCTGCAGCAAAATATCTCTTTAAAGTGTAAAAGGCAAGATGTCACTTGAAAGACTAAGGGGCATCTGACCTAAGTAGTGGTGTTTTCCATTGAGTCTTATACTTGTATAAGATAGACAATGAATAAAGAAGAATTATGGTGTTGGCCAAGAATATTAAACATGGCACGGATTGCCCGAAGAACAAACAAATCTGTTTTAGAAGAAGAACATACAGAATGCTTCTTAGAAACGAGGATGGAGCAACTTCACGTTAATGTACTTTGCACATGGTATCAGAAGGGACCAGCCAGCAAAAATAGTCAGCAGAAAAAGGGGAAAACAAACTACGAAGCGGCTGACACCATGGCTGCAACAATGGGCTCACGCACAGCAGTAACTGTGAGGACGGCACACTACTTACTAGGCAGTGATGTGTTCTGTTGTACATGAAGTCACCACGCGTTAGAGTGGACTCAACAGCATCTAACTGTGAAAACTAGATAGCTCCCTTGACTATAAGTCTATGGACCTCAATGTCATTGTGTTCTGAAGATTTAATATGCTATTGTCTAACATGGTGCAAAGTCTTTTTTATCAATTAGCAATGAACAATCAGTTGCTCTTGTATCACAATATCTGGACTCTTTGGCAAATTGTTTGGTTAGAATATATAAACCCTAGCTATGTATTGATGATAGCAACCTATTGTTTCTATATTCCTTTCGATCTTATATATGAAAAGTAACATTTGCCATTTACTTGATAGCATGTCAGACAGAGAGCAAGCATGCAATACATAACAATGTGTTGTTGGCTGTTGCCATGGTAATGGTAGGTGTGGAAAGGGAAAATCCACAGGAACAGAATACCTAAAATCCTTAGAAATATTCAGAAGAGTAAATTCATTACCTATAAGTGAGTGTTCTGTTTTCATGCGCACATGCTTTGACTGAATCTTAGTGAAAATAAGACATCATTCTTCTTTGGAAAATGGTATTTCTAACTGAAAATACAGTTTGTTAAAATGCACTTTAAAGTAATTTTATGAAATGATGACTTTTTGCATATGACCTGAAGATTCTGACATGAATGAAAGACTTGGCTTGCATGTAAATTTTGTAGTTTTATTAGAACATATTGTATTTTGGCTAGAAAAAAGTGGTATATTTGTTAAGAAAGTCCTTTTGGAGAAATTTCTTCTTCTCATGACAACCAATATTTTAATTAGATTTTTAACGGTTTACACCTCATTTCTACAATGATTCATAAATAGAGATCTCCTGTACCATCAATATAACCTTAGTAAGTGATCAGACATCCCGCTTTTGGCAGAACAGTCCCGATTTTTGGTGTTTTATAAAAGTCCTGATTTTTGGAAAGAATGCACGACAAGCTAGGGAATAGTCTATTTGGTCCATATAGACCAAATTTTTAATCAAGACACCCCCCCACCCCCCACCAATGGTGTCCCGCTTTAAATCTGGTCACCTTACTGATGCACGGGACCAATTACATTTAATTCAATAGTACTTAGTTCTTAAAATAAGTCAAATAATATTAAAAGATTCTCCAAAGAGACCAACGGCACTAAATTCTCTCAGTTAAAAATGGAGAAACTAAGTTACAGCAATTCATTCACTCACTTATTGCCTTTGGGTCAGTTCTTCACATAACGAGCCTACAGGACAGCAGAGACTGCCCCTTCGGGTTTCTAATACTAACTCCTCACGAGGGTGCAAAGTCTCATCTCTCTCCCAAGGAGCGTTGAATGGTTTTTGGATTCCTAAATTATAGAAATTAGCTAATCTTGACAATCACCCCTCAATTCCAACAGTTGCTTAATTTCTCAAACTACTACCTACTCATTTATCTAATCCTATGGTTTATGCATAGAACCTGCTTTGGGTCAGATTTTCCCATGAGCAACTGGGGATAGGCATGTGAATAACCCACAGCTTTCCAGGCCTGAGAAGAAACTCAAACCCTTGTGTGGCTGGCTATTGATCTCACCATAAGGAGCCTTGGTATTGCACACAGTTAAGTAAACTAATAGTGATGGCGGT